GATTAGCTTATGTTTTTGAAAATTATATTTTAGCTCTTACTTTTTTCCCTTCAATATACAAATGAAATAATGAATTCCAAAAATTGCTTATTCATTTACTTCATCGCTTTTCATTTTTCAACTTGCCAATTGTATTTTGTTTTTTAATTTGAAGAAATTAATTGGAAAGATTAATTATTTATTCCTCTTTTCTTTTTCTAGTAATTCATTCTAAAATCATATTCCATACTTACATTAAAATTATACATTGTGTTAGTATTAATAATTAAATATAATATTAAAAAAATAAAATAAAATACAAATGAATAAATTAAATTCAATAATTGTTTACCTAAAAAGACTGTAATTTTACTTTTAATATTATAATATTTCTTTTTTTTCACATACCATTCTTCATTGGTTTTTATGTTTTTTTGTTTTTGTTTTTTTCTTTTTTGTTTTTTGTTTTTATTTTTGTTATCAATTACTTTTATTATTACTACTTTTGTTGAAATGATAGTTGTTTGTTTGAGTTTAATGGTAAAATTTTTGAATTTCAAATTTAAATAATTGTTGAAATAACTTTAAGAAATAATTGCTGTACAAATGACTGAAAAAAAGCTTGCTTAGTTTTTTTTTGATGAATTAATAGCTTTCTTATGCTAATTCAATTACTCCTTTTTCTAATATTTTTGATGAAAAAAAAAAAAAATAGAATAGCAATGATAGAATAGGAGAGGCAGAAGGAAAAAGGAATAAGGTAGGAAGTGCTGATAATAACAATAATAATAATAATGCTGATGATAATGATGATGATGATGATGATAATGATGACGATGATGACGATAGTGATGATAATGATGATGATAGTGGCGATGGAGGAATAGAAAAAAAATATTTACCAATGATTTCGATTGGTTTACATATGTTTATGTGACATTCGTATGAGCGAGACTGTTCCTATCATCAATTATAATGCTATGCTATCCTTAATGAACGAACATAACTATTTGTATATCGATATTTGAATTCTGTAATTTCATTAATTAATTTACTATTATCAATTGGTTGATTAATTAAATTAATTTACTCAGTTTACCGCGGAATTTATTGGTAAAATTTACTATCAATTATCATGCATCATTCAATAATGTTTGATTTTCATTTCTGATTTATATTTTGATTGCAAACATTGATAACTTCAAATGATGAGTCATTATTGCTTAAAATGGAAGCTATAAGTAATAAATCATTGATTGGTATTAGATCAATAATGATAGCTATGGAAAGCTTAGCATCTGATACTGCAATTAATTGATATGTGATCATCATGGTAAGCGATCCACAATGATATTATTATTATTATCATTATTATTATCTATTATTATTA